TGCAATATCATTATCAAACCTAAGAGAAATTATCAATAATTTCACAAAATCAAAAATAATCGGGGTCTTATCACATCCCTCACAAATTTCACAAGTGTTTTACTCAGTTACATTTTGATGCTGTTGTTATTGTGCGGGTTTTTCTCTGTTCGTATGAAGATTAAATAACATTTGAAATGGTGACTGCTGCATATGTTTTCAGGCCTGTTTGAATCGGCAAGTGCCTCCCAAATGCCTCTAGTTTTCCTTGCAAGGCAGGAGCTGCAGGAGCTGCAGGAGCTGAGCAGCTGGTCCTGGGACCTTCCCACTGTCGTGATGCAGCCGCTGGCCTACCGAGCTGTCACTGGGTGATTCTCTCCACTTCTGCTTTTCCTGCAAAGTGGCTCAACCATTGAGAGGCTTGACGGAGTTCCGGTTGGAAATGACAAAACCACTTCCCAGCACAGTTTGCTACTTCTATCAAAGGCACACATGTCAGACGGTCATTCTTTTCGTGACATTAGCTGTATATGGTCTGAGTCCCTGGTAGTAAACGTGAATCTCCCCTCACCCATTGATTCCCATTTCCTGCCTCAACCGGAGCATCACCTCCTGTATGAAGATGTAAGGGGCATCCAGGACCCTTCCCACAAGTGCCAACTCCACAAAGGGGTCCCAGCTGCATCATCTCTGTGTATACAGGCCTCTCAACTCCTCCTGCCTGACATCCCCAGCACCAGCTGTCCCAGGCCACACAGCTCCTTCCCAGCATGCAGTTACCTGAGAAAACTGATTCCACACAGACGTTGTCTCCAACCCTCTCCCACGACTGGAAATGGAAGGATTCCTAAGGCCCCAAGGAACTGAAATTCCATCCCCTACCATCGTGACACGGCCCAACCATCCCCCATGAAGAGGAGGCTGCGCCCTGGGCCTCCCGAGCAACTGCAGATGGCCTGGGTCAGGGTGTGTCTGCAGGGGTTTGTGCGCGGGGCTGTGTCACAGTGTGAATCCTTCGGAGGAGGCACCCAACTGACCGTGCTTGGTGAGTCTCACCCTTTCTCTCCTCTTGGGGTTCGGGTAAAAATTGGGTAAGTTTTGTTCTGTTTTCTGTCCTTTCTAGAGCAGGGGTCTCGGCCTGTCTAGAAGTCAACCAACTCTGCCCCTTTTTGTCTGGTCCCTCGCCCCCTCCAGCCTCTCTCCTCCTCTCAGCAACCGGGTTGGGACGGAATGGGATGAACCAAAGAACCCAATTCTGGGTCTTGCTCAGGCCTGGATATGACTCCTGG